TCATGTAACAGGGGTTAATGTCACCTGTCTCCCCTATTCTGACAGAATTGGCGCCTGTCAAGTATATTAGAAGAACCACATTGGATCATTTGTTGCCTCGGTTTGCCACCCCCTCTCCCATGCGTATGTACACCTGTCCGCATGGCCAAGGGATTGGCTCCAGAAGTTCTGGCATTTTATTTCCCTTTTAAAAAAGATAAGTTGAGGAGGTCTTCCATACTACTTGAAGACCCCTTCCTATAGACTTCTTGTACCATCCATGCCCTGAGCTGAGGTGCTCTGGCATTTCATGTCTTGCTTTCTGCTAGAGGCAGCCCCTTCCTGCAGATGGTACACACTCCTGTGGCCTTTCTCTGTCATTTGACTTCCTTGTTGCTTACTAAGAAGGTAGGCTTCTTGTCCCCACATGTCTGAACCATTACATTCTGATTGCCTTTTCCCCCCCTTTTTGTTTTAACATACTTACCTACTGTAGAAAAAAGAGCAGGGTCTTGGGAGTGGTCAGTGTGATGAACTCTGCTGGCCTGGCCCCAGAGGCACTGCCATTTCTTGTGAGTAGGGAAATGAGTGGAGATTATCCTTGGTCCCTGTGTGCAGTCTGTCCCTTGGGTAGGGCAGTTAGGGCAGCCACCCTGACTCCATGATTGTGGGTCAGGGGTTGGGATGCTGCACCATACTCTTCTTTTCCAAACATAATTAACATTTGGTTTCACCATTTTGGTCTATCATGATATCCCAAGAAACTAAATGAAAAATAATGGCAGACCAGGTTTTTTTCAAGAGAGCTTATCTCTGTCCTTGTTGCGTTTCCCTTATGCCCACAGCCCCTCCCCCTCCCCTGTGTAAGGCCTTATGACAGAGGGTATTAAAAATAGAAATCTCCATCCCCATATTCCTTTATTTATTAAAGTCCTTTTCCTGCCCTTTCTCCAAGCTGGGTATGGTGCTGGCTTGGAGGCTTCGGAGTGCTCCTCCTCCACTTCAAGAAAGCGCTGAAATACACTCTTCCCTTCCCCGCTCCCAGACAGCTCCTACCTGCCCTGGTGCGCATCTGCTGTCCTCAGAACAAAGTGGACAGGATGTTCCTATAAACCTTTGGGGAACTATCGAAAGTCATGCGGTAGACTTAGGTTATGTATAAAACGAAAAATAAAGTGAATAATGTGCTTTGAAAGAGCGCAACACAACAGAAGAGGCAACACAACAAAGTTAATAATCACATGCGTCCTGGAGCCTCGTTTCACGGTGGTGTGAACTTGGACATACCACTTCACCTCTCTGAATGTCAAACCCTTCATCTCTAAAATGGGAATATAAACAGTGCCTGTCTCATAGCATTATAATACTTGATAAATGAATGAATTCATGTAAAAGGTGAGAACTGTAATACCTGTAATAAACATTTAGTAAATGTTAACTCTTAAAAAGAGTCATCAGCCTCTGCCTTTCAGAACCCCACAATCCAATAACCAATACAATCTACTTGTGTGATAGTCTGTAGACGATATATTCTTACGTATACTTTACCTCATCACTAGGCTGAATATTCCGAACTGGTCGAAACATTACTGTCAAGTCAACAAGACCCTGTTATTTACCAGAGATTAGCAGATGCCTTCAACAAGCTCACTGCAAGCAGCACTCCTCCTACGCTGGACCGGAAGCAGAAGATGGCCTTCCTGAAGAGTTTAGAAGAATTTATGGCAAATGTTGGTGGTCTCCTTTGTGTAAAATAAACAACAAAACTTTATGCTTAATTTAGATCCTTTCTGCAAAGTGCACTGAATTGCTGAAAGTTGACTTGAGTCTTGTCCTGTTCCTCAGTTCATTTGGCCATTTTCAATTTTGGAGAGCCTGAAACTTTGATACGTAATACAGTGAAACAGGAGAGGTCAACCAACTTTGAGTCAGCTTCTGCTGTTAGTGTTAGCCACAATCTGTCGTATATATGTCTCCTAGGTTTTGAATGGTGATTTAAAATTTTCAAAATGATATTCCATATATGTGCAGATATGGGCACCATGAAATACATATTCAGTGCCTTTCCCCCTTTTATCAAAACATAGGTGGCTAGCCAAAGTTTAGAATTTTTGTCATTAAATATTAGGTGGATATATGCTAGGCAATGTTTCTTGAAACGTTGTCCACAGATCACCTGCATCACTTGAGGAGCTGGTTGAAAAGGTAGATTCCTAGGCCAACCGTAGACCTTCAGAGTCAGAATTTCTCGTTGTTGGACCCTGGAGTCTTCGTTTTAATAAGCTGCTCCCTTCCATCACCCCAAACGTTTCAAATCAACGCAAGAGACATTGAAAACTCACAGGAGGTTTTATGCTTTCTAGCTTTTCCTGTCTTCGATGATTACGTTTATAATTCAGCAGGAAGAGACAACATCACCAGGGGTTTATTGGCTTTTTCTTAGTGTTCTTTCTCTCTCTGTCTCTCTCTCTCTCATTCATATCAACCCAGTGTTGCAGGTTTTGTGTAATACAAGTCTCTAATCATACTCTGATGCCTGAACTTGAGGAGGGAAATACGTGTATATTTTTGTTCCATAAAAATAACTTTAGGAACTGTAGCCATTTCATTGCCTTAATTTTAAGAGGAAAATACAAAAAAAGGAGCAGATTTGTTTTAGTGAGAAATCAAATCTTGATGCTTCAGAGTTGGTTTAGGGTGTTAGCTGCTACAAACCTGTTGCCCATTTGGTCATGTATTTATGTAGGTTTATGAGAGGAATGAAAGGCTCATGCCTGTGTAGTCTAACTTTTTGAGTGTGTTTCTTTCCAGCCACATAGACCGTATCTACTCTGAATGGCTTACTTAAGCAATAACAGTTTTAAAGGATGTGAATTACAGATTCACACAGACTATTGCACGTTGGGGCATCAGGGGCAATAATTATGCTAGAGTGGATGTCATCCTCATGTCACGGGAGCCACGTGAATTTAATTTCAGAGATTAAACAATTCACTTTAGGATCCCCTAGTTTGATCTTTCTAATCAGGATTTTTATACTGCTGCCATACTCCCCTAATTCTGTGTGCCAGCTTAAATAATGGAAACGAAAGCTGATTTATAAACTGCAGACATGAAACTCTGCCCACTGCAATAACAGATTCACGTCAACACAGTGACAGGTGAGGGCTCTGGCAGAGGTACACTCTGAAACTCTACTTCCGCTGTGTTCTGCTGCACCATCCTGCAAATACAGTTTTAAACCTGAATGGCATATAGCATATACATCTTCACGTGCGCTGCTGTGCAAAACTTTGAATAACTCTGTGCTGTTAAGTTATAGTTAACAAAATTGGAGCGTCTAAGTTACATCCAACCTGTGCAGGTGACGTTAGGTATGAGTAAATGCAGGGCCTAGGGCCATAACTTTTTAAGGGACATTTATCTTAATTTGATCACCATTGAGTCACAAGGGGGAGCAAAATAAGTCTTTAAAGACTGCTAGGGAGAAAACTAATATCACTCTTCATGAAATACATGTTTTGTATTTTAAAAAATACTTTGAATGATGCATTTATTTTTAGAATTTTTTTTCCTTAAAGAACTTGAAGTGATATGCAGCATTAATAGATTTCTTTTGCATTGTTCTTGGCGTTCTGTGTTTCCCATGTCCCCCAAGCATTCTCAGTAGTGACTTATGTGTATCTTTGTGTGTGATAAGTACAGCCTTTATCACGGGCACTGAAACACGCATCTGACTGAATTGGTCCACTGGCCATGACAAAACTATAATCAAGTTATTATTAAAAATAAAGATGATAAGGAAGTAATGCCTTGGTAAGTAAAAAGGCATCTATCTGTATTTAATAATTTTTACCCAGGTGGAAATATGTTGGCTAAATTTGCCCAGATGTGATTATGAGCCTTCAATTTTGTTAGGCCAGTTTTAATTAAAACAAGATTTACTTCAGATTGGACCAAATAATACTTAACAGATCACCGGAATGACTACAATTTTTTAGGTAATGGGGATGCCACTTAATTGCAACCTCTTCAGGTATTTGTGTATACTTTTGCCTGATTGGATATTTGTTTAGTTTGGGTCTTCCTTTATTTTGTCCAGTTTTGTCTTTATGTATGTTTATTAACTTTTTAGGCATGATTTGTTTTAATGCTCTTGGCCCAGTGAGTATCAAGAACACTGTCTTAATTCTAGTAAATTGATTTTTTTCCTGTTAAAACTGACTGTTGTCAAAAGCTTTTTAAAAACAAAAACATTATTTGTGCCCTTTTTTTATATATGTTAAAGGGATGCTGTCAAATATTGATTTTTAGGTTTTTGTGTTTCATACAATTTCTGTTGTTTACATAGTATCCTTTAGCCTCTATTTTTCCATACATCCATTGTTCAATTTATTCCTTATTTTCCTTGACCCATTTGTTTCTCAAGGCACAATCTCTAAAGACTTTGTACTTTCACAATTTGAACTAACAGAACAGCACCTGTATTCTTGTTGCTCTGTTAAAAAGGTTGGTTTGCTTTTATGGTTCTTGGGCTGGATGAGTGGCTGTCTGAGTAGCAAAACTATTTGACAATATTTGACAGTGTCCTTTCCAACACAGTTATATAGGTCTTTCTGCCTGACTGTCTCTTAATCTGTTGGAATACAGTGGATTGAGTTTTCATCTAGTATAAAGTGTGATGTTTTATATAAACAAACTTTGCAATGTTTTTCAAACTAATTTTAAGAATTCAGCCTTATTTCATTGTAAACTGTGTTATCTAATTACATTACTCTGTTCAGATGAGATGGTTACTACTTTTTTTCCCCACAATTTTCATGTCAACACCAAGCATCTATATAATTTCCCCCAATCAGCATTATTTAAACTTCTCTTACTGTCTTTGAACTTCCTCTTTTACCAAAAATGTCAAGTCTTTATAGGTCTAATATCACCATGTTTCCCATTTCTGTTAATACTTCTGTGAACCCCTCAAGTATTGAAGGGAGCTAGCCGTCAGTTTCAAGGATTTCAAGTTTGAGTCTCCAGTATATAGTGTCAGTTGAACCCTGAAAATGCTATTTTTCTGTTACAATATTATGTGTTTGCCACCTCTGTTGTTAGAGGTGATTGTCATTAGACCTTACTAAGTTAGCTGTCTCTGACAGGTAATTGCTATTATTGGTTCCTGAATAAAATATTAACCTTTTAAGTCAGAAGGAACCTAAGTACTTCTTGGTATTTTTTTTTAACCAGAGTAAGGAACTGATTTGAATATGAGGTTTAACATTATAATTTTCTGTAAATTTTCCCACAAAACAGTTGATTTGAGGATATAATAATGTTTTAAATTATTTTTACATGTAAGTGGATATTCTCTGACTTGGTAACTATGTTCTGAAAACACTGCATTTAAGAAGT